ATAGCAGATCTGATGAAGTGCACATAGTTGTGTGCTGAGTGTTCCATAATACTGAACGGACAGAGAGATGGAGTGTAATCCTGTCTCCTGCCTTGAATTCCCACTGACTTTGCTGGGGTGAATGCAAAATGAATGCAAGGTGACAAACTCGTAACAGAACTGGAAAATGATACTTCACAAATAAGATGACCTGGGTCCTTCCTGAGACACCAAGCCACAGGAGGGCATGTATGGGATTGTCCCAAGCAGTAACAATCAGTATTAGTTCTGACTATTCCCAAGAATTATTCTTCCAAAGAAGACAGAGATGGATCATTACTGGTGTGCTTTTCCTCTAATCCTGCAACACTGAAAGAAGCTGTGTCTGTGCACATATACTGGAACTGGGACATGACAAACCTCACACAAGCTGTGTTCGTGACTGAAAAATCTCACCCTAGGTAAATCCATGTATTTATAGCTATTCATACCAGCTGAGAGTCTACCCCTTGTACCCTGGGAGGTCTGCTTAGAACACACCTAATGTAGGTGCCAGTCCTCATCCCGCCACCTCAAGATGCAGCTTTGAGGCCAGACTTGGCTTTGTGCTTCCCTTGGCAACTTCACCATGCTGATACTTAGGAATGCCCAGGCAGGTCAGTAAGTCAAAAAAAATATTTGAGCCAAAGGCCCAGATATTTGCTGTCACTTAAATAAGGAGATCCCTAAAGCCGCAAAAGCAACAGCTGTATTAGCCATCTTGGATCTTATGATTCACTGGTGGGAATAAAGCCAAACAAGGAAATCCTTCCTGCATAGCACCTGTAATGAACATCTAAATCCAGTGAAGTCATCTGGACCTTGTATGACCTACCCCTGAGCAGCCCTTTGCACACATAATGGCAAGTAACAGCATAGCTTTTCCAGATTGGGAGTCCCTCAAGAGACTCATCTGCATCAATGATTTATACCTCAAGTTCAGTATTACAGAACCACATTATTCTCTGACAGTTTGTCTCTGCTTTGTTTTGTTTTCCTCAGCTCTTTGCTGTCCTTCAGGGTTTGATAAGCAGTTTACCATGTAGCATCATAAATATATGTCATCATCTGAGGAAAAAAAAAAACAGTCCTAGGAGCTGTTTTGTCTCTAGGAGCAATAAAAGAGTGAGAAATAGCCTTGAGCAAGCAGTGTCCCACTGGCAAGAGAAGCAGATTAACAGGCTTCACTATATGGGGAAGAGGATTTCCTTCTGTAACACTTCCCTCAGCATGGTTTATGCCTTTCCCTTCTGAATGGTCACCAGAGATGCAGAGACAGAAATTAAAGCTTACTGCAAGAATCCTCAATTGCTTTATCCCCTGAAACTCCATGATTCCCTCACCAATAGAACATGTACAAAAAAGGAATGGTGACTAGTATGACATGGCCCCATAAATCAACAGCAGCTCATCACTGAAAGTGCAACAGCTGGGTCATTTGCTGAGGCTGCATTTGAACACAGCAGGACTGTCCTCTGACAGACCACAGGAACAGCACTGTCAGCTTTCATACCCAGCAGTGACTCAATCTCTTCATTTGCCTACTGCTCCCAGCTGTCACCTTTCATGGGACAAGCAAACAGAATTGCATCTCACCACCTAGCTTCAAGTTGCAACATCAAGTCCAAACAACAGGCACTCTCAGCTTAGTTAGTCTATGGTTCCTGAAAAAACACCTTCAGTTCTATTCACAGAAGTGCTTTAAAACACTTAGTTGATTTCTAAAGTTAGAATGATGAAAGTCTGTTGTGTCCTGTAACTGTCCCAACAGAACACTTCCAGTCTACAGTTACGATGCTCACATACTAGATGTGGCTAGCAGAAACAACAGATGCATTACCCCTTCAAGTTATCACTTTTGATGCTGGCTTTCTGCTCCAAAATCCTTACAACTCTAGAAAAAAAGGAAAGGGAATACAAGGGGCATTCTTCTTCTATATGAAAGGGAAACTAAAGTACACCCCAAGAGGCATTTAGGTATCTAAATACAATAGCAGGGACAGTAAGAAAACAACAGAAAAACTGGTAAAAAGAAGCTACATTTATATCACAAAGGCATGCAAGCCCCACTGCACACCTTGGGATTTTTCTCACACAGATGTGAACACTGAGCACCTGGTCAAAGCTTCTTTTCACAAAATCATAAAGTTGGAAGAGACCTCTAAGATCATCAAGTCCAACCTATGCCCTAGCACCTCAATTAGACTATAGCACCAAGTGCCATGTCCAGTCTTTTTTTTAAACACATCCAGAGATGATGATTCTACCACCTCCCCAGGAAGACAATTCCAGTACTTTATTATTTTTTTGGTGAAAAGTATTTTCCCAATATCCAACCTATACCTTCCCTGATGTAGCTTGAGACTGTCCTCTTGTTCTATCAGTTGCTGCCCGGTGGAAGAGACCAACCCCCACCTGTCTACAACCTCCCTTCAGGAAGTTGTAGAAAGCAATAAAATATTTTGTCCTTTTCTTTAAGTTTCACCACATAGAAGCCAGGAAACATGAGTAGGTTTGCGTGTTTGGGTCCAGCCCAAGAAGTAGCTGGGACACAGCTATGACACCCAACCATTTCCACCACCTGGAAAGTTTACATTTTGCTGTTTAGCTACAAACTGAAGAAAACCTTGACTTTCTTGTCATAGCTAGGTGTGGTATTTCAAGCAGAATGAACACATATCCCCAGGCAAGCTAAGGTCCAGCAGAACAGCAGTCCTGCTTACAAAATACCACTTGTAAATGCAGTAGTATTTTACAGTCTTCCACTCATCATAAGCAGGTACACAAGACCTTACACCTTGTGTATGGCTCAGTTGCTTCATCTGGTTGGCTTAAAGTTTCATGAACTAGGTAAAATAATACACAGAAAAGGCAAGGATAATAGTTCCTTATTTCCAAGTGACTCAGTAACAACCTTTACAGTGCTAGATACTGATGAATAGTACAGATAAGGAATGCTCATCTTAAGGCATTTCATATTTTGTGATTTCTCTTTTATCACTTGCAACAACAGCAATGATACGCACACTTGACTTAGGAGTTCACAAATAAAAAAAGCAAGCAGCTCCTTTTCAAGTATTTCCTCTATTTTGTCTTCTAATTTTATGCTGTTGGTTCTAAGATACTCACTTTATACCCTGTTATATGAATAACAGGAACTCCTCTTTAAGGAACATTACAGTTCCAACTAAGTCAGGTTTCCTAATCTTCAGTTCACAAGACCTTTACTACAATGTAAGGGACAACAAAAAAAAGGGAAGGAATATCTTCAGGTCACTTAGTGGTGTATGTATAAAAGGGCTGAGTTCATTACTTCAAAAACAAACATTTCAATGACAAAATCCAGGATAAACTGAACCTCTGGCATCAGCCTAGCAGAAGTATGACTTCATGGTTGTCTTCACGGCAAAGAGAGCCCAATTCCAGAGCAGCAAACGGCTTGCCAGCAGGGCAAACCATGTGACTGTCATCAAGGCATTGGCAAAGTAAGCACCACAAAATTAACTTCTCACACGCATTATGTGATCACTGTTCCCAGAAATAGCTTGGAAAAAAAGGAAAAAGGTAAGTTACGAATTACTTTATCAGTTAAAGATCTGTAATCTTATCTGAATATTATTTATGCATTGCTGAAGCACTCATCACAAGGACGAAATGATGCAAGACCAATAGAGTGTAGATTTACCTTTTTCCTTTTTATAGTCAGTGAAATATTAAGAATTGCTGCAAACTCTAAGAGATCTGACTATACATTTCACTGGTGAAAATGCTTTTGGAACAAGGCAATTCAACCACTGAAGGCAAATGTTAAAAATTAAGGCTAATCTTGGTAGCAAAAGAAAACTATCTCTGTGAAGAAGAAAAGGAAGAAAGAAGCAATACAACTTTTGACAGCAAAATAAAGTATTATATTTTACTTCCACTGGCAAAACTCCCTGACCTTACTAAAGTCAATTGTTTTTATACAAAACAAGACAAACCACTGAAATCTCACATGAACGCACGTAAGTATTACTGATTAAATAGCTTGCATTTAATAGGAAATGTCATTCCATTTCCACAGCTGGAATTTTAAAAAAGTTTTAGAAAATAATATCAGTTGTCACAAAAGTCATTAGTACCATTCACATTTATAGAAACACTGAGATCAATAATCTTAAAAAATACATAAATTAAAAGTTCTAGCAAAATTTAGCCATTCCAGTCTTCCTTTAATTGAGCTCCAGCATCAATTTGCAAGTCTCATCAGGAAACTTTAACATAAGAAACTTTAACTTGGTCTTGTTAGCTGCTCATTAGTTAATAAGACAACACTTGAAAGGTGCTCATAACATGCTACAATACATTTCTTTTTGGCAAGATATCGCCTGATACTTAACTAATGGAACTAAATGGAATTTACTGAAGTCAGAATTCATTCTGCTTCTCATGTTGTAGTGATCCCATTCCCACTGTAACCAGGTCAGCCCATTTAATTCTTTAAGTATGTCAGATAGGGAGAAGCGATATATTTTCTCACCACTTTTAGTTCAAACACAGTAAATGCAGTCACGTACTACAGATCCTTATTGGTAAAGTCAAGGACAAAGTCAAAAGTTTTGCTGCTGATTCTCTGTAAAATTGCTCTGCTTTTGCTTAGACTTCTGAGTTGCACTGTGGCATGACTTTATTCAATTGTTTGTAAAATGAATTAATTTGTGTTCTAATATTTCCATTGTAAAGAAAATCCCTTTGCTGTATTCTTTGTGCATTAAGTAACAATACAAAAATGCTTTTTACCTAATAAAATATTAAAGGAAAAAGGAAACAACACCTTTAAAAATTTCCATGAACACATATCCACCATTACTGCGGCAGTATCCTGTTCTATGTGGTAACTTTTTTGTTAATAAAGATTATTAATTAGCTGGGTAGATTTTAAACAAAACCTTTCATCCTGGCAATGCAGTAAAACTCTTCAAATAAGACAGACAAGTAGAGGGTTTGTATTTAAAGTGCTCTTTATCTGATGCAGTAAGGATTTGACTGTTATTCTGGTCTCTAAGTAGCACTTCACAGACGATTAAGGGCAAGGAGGGGGGGCAGCAGAACAAACCGCTCTAAGTTGCAGCTCTTTGAGGAACAGACTTTAAGTGCCAGGTGATACAGCACTACCAGAACACAAAACAAACCCAGCCTCTGCGGTTGGAACATCACCATACACGCATGTGCTTGACACTATCTGAAGGCAGATGTTAGTGCCTGGGATTTGCAATCTCCTGCAGTTAGAAAGCAAGCTCAGCAACTACAAAACTCCCTACAGGAAAAAGCAGCTACTAAATGAATGCACGGCGAATGTCCATGGGGCGACCCCGGCTGGGTCGAGGTGGAAACCTGTCACTGGAACCAACTCGTCCTGGAAGCGTAGGGTTTGCTCCAGGCAGGGAGCCAATTGGGTCAAAATGTGGCCTGAATGGAGGAAACTGACCTGGTGCTTCTCCCTGGCCAGGAATGAGTGAGTTAATTGGGTCTCCAACATATGGAAGTGTTGGTCTCTCATCATATTCTCCCCCAATGATCATTGGGGGATAGATTGGATTTGATGGGAATGGGTTGGGTGGAAAGGGATTAGGATAGAATGGGTTGGGATGAAAGGGGATTGGATGAGGTATAGGAGGCAGAAGCATCATGTGCCTCCATCTCAGAGCTTCTTTCTTCTGTTTCAACTTTTTCTTGTATAGCTGCAGACAGAAAAAAAACAAGCATTTAAAGCTCTCTTAAGTGTTCCAGCTTCAGCAACTGCATTCAGTTTTACAGCACTTCTCAAAAAAGTGCTCCTCACCAGTCTGAAAACTCAGAGCAGCAAGTCCCCTGCCCACCAAAGACCTGGCACAGCACCCTTGGAAGATCTCTAAAACCCACAGAGCATGCACCACTAACTTTTTGATGTTCCTTTCCGTTAGTCTGACCAACATGCATACACAGAACACCACACTTTTAAGCTAAACTTTAACTCAAAGTTACTACCTCCCAAAGTCTATACTTAATTCTCAAGATAAGATTGATCTCAGAGAGATTATATTAAAAAGCCACCTACTTCTTTCCAGTCTGTGTCCCGAGGCCTTACAATAGGATCTATAAAGAGAAGCAAAGCATTAAGAAAAGCAACAGATCTTGTGCCACAGATATCTGCAGTTTGTCACAACTCAAAGATAATCAAGATATGAAAAACACTTTTGCTCAATACATCTTTTTCTAAAGATAATGTAGCTTAAGCTCCAGGTTCATTTGATAGATAATCTACTTGCATACCCATTCCATGTAAAGCATCATCTCCAAATGTTATTAAATAGAGAAATCCCAGAAACATCATCTCTGCCTTTGCCTTCTGACATCACTTCCCTTAATTACCTTTGTTTCTTAACTCTCTTGTGAGAAATTGAAGCAGGAATGTATCTTCCCTTCACTTCCTAATATCTGCAGTAGCCAATACACCAAGGTAGCAAAGGACACAGATGAAAACAAGGAAAGCCTACACCACACAATGGGATGAACCAAGTGGAGCACCAGTAATGGCTCAGAAGTGTCAACCATTTTCCTTGGCAGAAACTCTGCATCCACCTAACCAACCGTACTGATTAGTATCACTAACAACTGCATTTACTCACAGTGTTTCAACATCATTATTGGTTGCCTGAGAACCCTCTTATCAAAATCTGTCAGAAGTAACCCCTCAATTAACATGAGAATGTAATTAGAAAAAGATGGGCCTAACATTACCTCGGAAATCCCGCAGATACATAAACCTCCAGAGAAGCTGGTCATTGGAAGCTGTGTAGAGATCACGGCAAACAGCAGAGAGAGAGATGAGGGAACGGACGTCCAGAAGTCTGAAAATCCGAAGCTTGAGCTCAAGAGGAAGGACCACTAATCCAAACACATCTGGCAAGTTCAAAGCTAAAGAAAGGAGAAAGAAAGTTCAGAAAAAAGACAGTAAACTCAACATCACTTAGGTAGTGTTTCTCTCTCCAATGACCCTAAAAGAAAGAACATGATAACCTTTCCCTTACGTCCTCTCCCTTTGGTGCCTGACTTACACCACTTTTCTGAGCAACTGTGATGTGACTCTTTGCAAAACAGCTCTCTTGCAACTCTAACTACACTAAAGAGGTGCACAAAATAGGGCAAATGACAGTTTATACTGAGCACTACACCTAAGAAACATTCCACACCAAATTATGCTTATAGGCTACAGAGCTAAGGAATAAGTAAAGAAAAAAAAAAGACCTGCTCAATTTCATGTCCCTGCAAAAACCACAAATATAGAGCACATGCTTCACATAAAATCTTCATGCGCTGAAGTCTAGAGGGAATTCCATTCTCTTCAGAACACAAAGCTGAGACCTTTTATAACACTAAGTATGCAGAGAAATCCTAATTTCCCACTGCTTCACAAACACCAGCCTGGGTTACTTCCTACCATCCTTTCCAAGCCCTCAATGACCAGTTCCTAAAAAGATCGTTCCTGAGGTCAGACTTCCAAACATGATGCTAAATAAATTTTTCTGTTTTGACAAAGAAATAGATCAAAACTACAAAACTATTGCTACAAAATTGTTGTGGTAGAATTTCCTCATCATTATGCATGGAAAACAGCCACTCCATTTCCATCTCTGAAGTGAGACTAGAGGAATCAAAAATTAAAACCATAATTATAGTAACATTTTCTGAGTTACAAAGATTAATACCATTTCTTTACCTGCATATTTTACTTTATGCTTCCTGTTTATATGTCTATCACTGAACAGCTGTTTCTAACACTCTTCCATCAAGGCTTTAGATTCACTCCCTTCCATCCTCAAAAATTAAGTACCATCTTTAATTGTAAATATTTTCTCTCACCTTGTCGGGCAGCAGCCAGAAGAGAGTAAACCAGCTGGTCTTTAAAGAGACGGGACAACTTCTGAAGGTCTTTGTAAACACCTGCAACTTTCTCTATAAAAGAAGAGAGGGGAAAAAGCTTAACTTCAAGAGGCTATAATACAACAATTATATAAGAATTACAGTTTACTTATTAGCACAACTTTAATCTGCTTGTGATCTTGATAGAAGCAGCTCTGCAGCTAGAGTGTTCCTGCAACAAATCAGTTATTGAAAAACTAGAAACCAGTTCCATGACTGGGCTAAGCTCTCCCATCAGCCTTAGAAGGCACAGTCAGGGGAAAGACTTGAGTTCTCTGGAAACAAACTGACTCTCAAGCACCCAGAGCTTCCTCTGTCAGATTTCAAAGCTCCTGCCTAACAGAGATCTATGTTCTAAGAGCCTGCAACCTGCATTTCTCTGACAGAAGTATTCTTCCATTCTGTTCTCTGAAGAAAGAGGAGCAATAAGATTTTAGTGTTATACTGGACACATTTCAGCACGCAGCTAGTTCTTCTACAACCTTTCAATTAGACTTCTACATAGGAGACCACACAGAACATAGGAAATTGAGTCAGCCTGGGCTGCCAGTAAAGCAACTCATATCCTCCAGAGAATATAAGGATGGTCAGGTCTGTCCTCACAAGAATCCACATGGGTCTGCCCTTCCATCCTCCCTCAACTTAAGTTTTCACTCTAATTTTGGCACTCTGGAGAAACCTATGTGGTCAGCACATGTTTTCTGACAAAAAAAAAAAAATTAACAACTACAGTACCACAACAAGAGTGTAAGTACCACCAGCCTCTGAAGCCCTGAGCTGCCAGGCAGAAAAGGGATACCACCCAACACTGTCCCAGAGATTCACACACATGCCTAGGACCTCATAAATAACAGGCCTATGGGCCAAAGGATAAACTGAGGTCTGCAAGGTTCTTTCCTTACATTGTTAATCCAAGAAATACAATTTATTCTAATAATAAAGTGTGAGTAAATGGCTACACTCTGAAATCCTTTTAACCATGAACTTATGACTAACCTAAATGGTAACCACACTTTTATTCTTTCTTGCTATTCTATATCTATTTGGTGCTCTACTAAAGCATATTCTTACCCACTCTGTCCCTCCTTTACTTTTCAGTTTACTACTATGAGACTGTAGCTCAGGCATACCTGGGTCCTGAAAGCAAACAAAGGATGATGGCAACAGCTGGATTCTCTTAACACTTCTAATCTCTTCATTAATTTTTAATGTTGCTACAAATAAAAGAAAGAAACACATTTCAAAATTTAAAACACAGAGAGACAATAAAGACCACTTATACATAGTCTGGAAGTTATAAAACACATTAAAAAAGCCAAAACATTGTAGCTGAAGCAAATCTACTTCCTTCATGTCTGTCAATGAGGGGAACCAAAGTTCCTATGAAATGAGACAACATATTTCTACAATATTGCAACGAAAAGGCCAGCTGAAACCCCTAAGATTCTCTAACAACAAGAGAGAAAGAAACAGTTAATACAGAGACTGGAAAAGAGCACCAGGAAGAGGCACCTTCTGCAACCCAAGTAATAAAGGTGCAACTCAAAGGACACAAAAACACACTTAAGTTTTCTCCTCCTAAACAATGGTGATACTTAGGATGTGCATCCAGGATGAAGACTTGACTGACTTACCATTAATAGCAATAAGATCTCCCAGAGGCACACAAGTCAAACCAGCAGAACCTTCTCCACAAAGGGGATGTGTGTACTGTAGCTTATAAACACCATTCCCTCTCCATTTCTCTGGCATGAAGACTGCCTTGGCTTCTATCCCCTACAAATGTAAAGAGATAACTGCCATACTTTTGCAATGTACCAATGCTGAGGAGTGAGGAAATGATTAGAAGTTAAGAAATGGGAGAATGATGCTTACAATTCAACTCTTAGATCAGTCCAAATGACACACTGATTATGAATATGTATGATTATTTACATTTTCCCCAAAACTAACAGCAAATCTAAGTGAATTTTTGTCCTGATAGGAACATTCAGTGAGCATTCACACCTGTTTCTTTGGGACACATACTTCATTCTGTTATCCATTCCAGCATTCTGACAACTCCTGCACATAATTAATTTGCTGCTCAAAAAAAATCTATTGCACCTCTTGTGTGAACTTACAGTATCTGACAGGGCTTTAAGAATAATAGTTTGAAGTTAATTAGAAAACCTGACTCAACTAACAGGTTTGCTTTCAATTTCATTTTGAAATAGCTCAGATGGATTATCAGAGTGGGATGCAATACAAGCACAAATAGGTTCTTTCCTTCCTCTTAAATCTGCACAGCATTCATCTTCCCTACCTCCAAGCCTGCTCACTGCCATAAACAAACTTTATTCCCAGTAGTAAATGTATTCTTTACACAGTATTTCAAATTATGGGTATGCAATGAACTTAGCAGATTTATTAAATTGGTATTGGTCAACCAGACATCCATATGTGCTTAGTCAGCCTCACTGCAAGAAAAAACATGAGAATTTAAACATCTGCCTGAGATCAAATCTTTTTCTCCATGTTCAGCCACGTATTAGTAAACATAAAATGCAAACAAAGGGGAAAAGTGAATCCATACATTGTACAGATGTACTGCCATAGGTGCTTGAGTACGATACCCCTACAGATTAGTAAAACCAAAGCCAAACTTGACACAGTTGAATATGGAGTTAGAGACACTTTTTTGGCAGACCTAGACCTCATTATGTACCATCTGACAGGGTATCATTGAGATGACACTGACAATCAAGGTAGTATTTTGGGGAAGTGCTACAATCTAAGCACATCTTCACATGCTCTATAGTAAAAGGCAGAAGCAGGAGGTTCAGCTGGGTCCCAGTGAGGCTGAGGACCAATAGAAACACAAGGACAGGCCTCTTCTTCCACACCTAAAAGCTGCTCCAATCTTTAGTCTGAAGACTTTCTGGTCAGGGAATTTTGAAAAACTGATCCTTCAGCAGCCCCTACAGCCAATTGACATATAGAACGGCAGAAGGATCCTCAGATGTAGCTTGTATATTCCACAGCTTCCCCACTGACCCAGAAACTTCTGTTTGGTGCTGCACCTACCTACCTGAGGTACATAGCCTGTCTCCATCATGAGAAGATGAACCAGAACAATCAAGGCATCAGTGGCACTGGTACACTCAGCAGAAAGGTAGAGCATCTCTAACGAATGGGGTGTTTCACCATCAGCAGCTTCACTGCACAGCATGGGTTCAGAGGGATAGGAACCTGTACCTTCTTCCAGGTCAGCATCTTCTGGGACTAATCCAGAAGGAAATTCTAGGCTGGATCCTGCCTTCAGGGAAAAGCAAAGCATATATTTGTTCAGAATATTACACCTCTATATACACCGACATTATACAGCTGCTTATTCCAGCCTGATTTCCCATACAAGTTGCATGGATACCTCCATTTTCTAGCATTCCACGTAGAGACTGGGATTACATATGTAGCCTTTGTGGGTTTTAATCTGTATAGTGCAAACCCTTCATTAAATGGTCTGTCATTTTGTTGCATATACTAACTGAAGACAAAGTGATCATAATGTATTAAACCTTCATGAGAATTTTTGCAACATACACAGGAATAATTTAATCACTACAGTATCACCATTTATTTGAACTTAGCCAATGTGCATGGCAAGTAACCAAAATGGCAACTTGGGCTGCCAACAAACACAACAGGCCTAAACAGCACAGGAGAAAAAAAAAAAAATCAATCAATGGAGTGCACTTGCTGCTATTTGAGGAGGATGTGGTTTCATTGTAGCTTCCTTCCTTCTCAATCAAGACATGTTATCATTTAACTGACAAAACTGCACACAGACACATTATTAAAAAAAAAGTAGAATGAAAACTGTAAGTAGATTTACCTAAGGCAAGGGTCAGGAAAGGGGGAAAAGATAACAGCCTGTCTCCAACAGTGCCTGTTGCATCTGTCCCAATCTAAAATCAGTCCCTCAAAAACACAGCACTGAGGCAGGCAAGAAACATAATCCTTACTTCCTTAAATGCATGTTCCAGCAAAAACATATACTCCTGTAAACCTGAAACACTTTGGGCTCTCTTCTGTGCCACAGTAATATAAAATTAACAGAGATAAATTTCCATTCAAAAACCTGAGAATGTATCAGACAAGTATAAGGAGCCAAATATTCCCAAGAAATTCAGTCCTCTATAGTACAGCAACTGACACAACAGGACACCTTCCTTTTTGCTTTGTGCTGTACAGGAAAATTCTCATGTACTTACCCTCTCATCACTCTCTTGAACTTCCACCTGAGCCTTCTCATTGTTAGACTGCTCATTCTGCCCTTCTCTTGGACTGTTGGCCTGACTGTTGTTGGGGGTCAAGGTGGTCGGCTCATGACCATTCTGAAGTGGGGCAGGAGTAGCAGGAGGAAGAGGTAGGCTGGGTTGTGCATCTGGCTCTTCTAGTAATAAGCATATCAAATCACCAGAAACAATCCCATATGACGCTAAGGTCTTCTGATCCTCTGTGAGAGCATCTTTTCTGTTCAATGTTATTGAAAACGTGGTATCAGAACTGCAAAATAATTTTAAAAAACAGTAAGGAAACAGGGTTGGCTGCACCTGGATAGCCACACACTGAACATGGCAATTAGTGCTATGGTTTAGTTGGCTTCATGATGGTTGGTCAAAGATGGGACTCAATGATCTTGTCCAACCTTAATGATTCCATGATTCTACAATTAGAAATGCATACTGCATATTAAAATAATACTGTGACACAGGGCTTAATCCAATATTAATCACCCGTATCTTATAGTGAGGGGAAAAAAGATCATATTATTTCCCCCATGTTTCCCAACAAGTACATTTTAAGTTGCTGCAGCTGCTTGGTAAATAAAACAATATTTACAGATATTGCCCATAAAACAGTTATGAAGGAGGAAAGCAAACAAGTGCTCTTCAAAGTAAAAGGTATCACAGTTAGGAAAACGAGATCTGAATAAACTACTGCCTCGGATCATTCAAAAATAAATAGTGTTGAAGATGCAACCAACTTGCTTTCTCATCAAGCTAAACATTAATTTCAGTGATCAGCAGGTGTGCTTTAGAATGCTAGCTGCAAATGAGGGTAATAAGATGCTTCAGGAAGAAAAAAAAAATTACAGAAATGAAACTGGTTAGGAGGGAAGCAGCTACAAAATACACCCACTGCGGCATGACAAGCAGTAACTTCAGATTCCTGCCCACACTGCTGTGTGAATCACCAGCGTAACACCAGCACGTCGGACATAATTAAAGGTTTGACACAAACACTTCAGCCGGCATCAGAAAGCGCTCCCCTTTTACAGGCGACTCATTTTGCCACGGAGGATGCAATGCGTCCTTCACAGATAAAATGTTTATGAAACTTAAACCGAGATTCCCCAGGAAGCCCGAGAGAAGTGTAAAACTGAGACCCCACAGCATTTTGTAACTCCAGCGCCGCGCGGAAATCTCGGTCAGCCCTGAGCGCGCTCAACCCGCAGTTCGCAAGCGAGCCCTGCCGAAGCCGAGGCCGCCCGCCGCGCAGTGCCCGGCCGGGAAGCAGCGCCCGTTCCCGGCCCCGGAGCCCGGGCCGCCGGCGCCGTGTCCGGGCAGAGCGCCCGGCCCGGCCGGCCCCGGGATGCGCCGGGAGCAGCGCCGCGCCCGCCCCGCAGGGGGCAGCACCGCGCCCCGCGCCCTGGGGCAGATCCCTCCCCCCGCAGCGCGTGGTACGGCCCCGCCGGGGGCCGCGCACGGGCGGCATCGCCTCCCCCCGCCCCGGCACCCCTCGCGATGGTTCGCTCCGCTCGCTACCTGTACCCCCAGGCCGGCAGCAGGGCCGCGCGCAGCTGCGCGCGCAGCTCCCCCAGCGTTGGCTCCGCCCCCTGCACCTCCAGGGCCGCCGTTCGCTTCTGTAGCCGTACGCGGAGCTTCATGGCGGCGGCAGCGGGACCGGGCGAGCGGGGCGGCCTCCGCGCCCGCCTCACGCCCCGAGCGAGCCCCGCCGGGCAGCGGCGGCGGGGGAAGGTGGCGACGGAGCGCGGCCGCAAGGGCTGCCGGGCCGGGCCGTTGTTTTGGTTGTCGCGGATCCGCCTCAGCCCGGCCCCGGCCCCGCCTCCGGGGCTGGCGGCACGCCCCCGATCGCTGACTCTGCGTGCCGCGCTGTGGCCTGGGCGCGATCGATGATTGGGCGCTCGGCTGCGCGCGGGACGAGCAGCCCCGCGAGCGTTCCGAGCGGCGGTGCGGGAGCCTCGCGGCGGCTCCGTTCCCCCTCAGCCTCGCCCTGCC